GTCCAATCAAAGACAACATTCTTCTTTGTTAACTCATGCAAGGGTCGTGCTAGTTCTGTGTACCCCCCGACAAAACGTCTGTAGTATGAGGCCAAACCAATGAAAGAACGAACCTCTCTCACAGAACTAAGTGTAGGCCAATGCCGTATTACGTCCACCTTTTCAGGATCTGTCTCAACCCCATAATCCGAAATTCTGTGACCCAAAAATTCAACTACAGAGGCAAACAGCACACATTTGTTAGGTTTTAGTTTTAACCCTTCTGTTGTAGCCGATCAAAAACTAATTCTAATCGTTTCAACTCCTCCTCAAGTTCCATAATTCTTTCAAAAGTGCTTACACCATTGGTCAAGCCAAATGGAAGCACCTTCCACTGGTATAACCCAGTTTTCGTACAAAAGGCAGTGTATGGTTTAGACTCTGGCGCAAGTTCAATTTGCCAATATCCTGATTGTAAATCTAATATAGAAAACCATTTCGACCCATAAATTCCAAAGCTTCATCAATCCTTGGGAGAGAAAAGCTGTCCTGGACAGTCACTGAATTTAGTTTACGATAGTCTATGCATAGCCTCTGTGTCCCACCTTTTTTTCTGGACTAAAACTATCGTCTGTCTATCAATCTCTCTGTGTTTCCATATTGGATTTCGGTATGGAGCTTGTCGCACTGGTTTTCCGTCTACTACTATCTCATGTTTTATCAAATCCACTCTACCTAAATCCTTACCATCACAACTAAAGACACCAGAAGATTTGACCAACAAATCAACAAACTGTTGTTTCTGTGTTTTATCCAAACCCACACTACTCTTCCTGTACAGCTCCTTAAGATGACTCAGCACAAGCGCTTCAAAATCGTCTGAATTTGCCTTGTGGAGATCAGATCTAGTAGAACTAGAAGGTGTACTAATAGAACTTTCACTACTATGATTATTTACAATGGTTTCCTTCTTATCCGCCAAGGATTCCTGCTGGAGATTGAATGGTAAGACCCTATCTGTGTCACCCCTAAGAAGTGCGAAAGCCGTCCCAGCTTTAAGTATTTGGTCAGTGGGAGTCACATTGAGTGTTCGGATTGGAATCCTAGCACTCCATGGATATACAACAGCATGGCACACTCCAATGCCATTTTCAAAACTACCAGTAGACCGAGTTGGCATAACACAAGCAGTGTAATTAACCTCATGTTCAGGGACTACACAAGATCTCCCCATTCTTGTCACATGAGGGCGCTCAGCAAAGCCAATTTCACCTTGTTTTGGGAAACTTACTTTCCTACCAACAATCAAAGCCTCACTGCTGGCAGGAATGAGTTTTTATCAACAACAATCCTGGATATATAAGGCTTCAGACATACAGAGTGCTGAGGACTATCAAAACACGGGATTATATCACCCTCCTGTTCCAACACACCATTGAATGCATCAATTTTACATTTTAACGGACCTAGTGTAGACATCCCAAGATTCCAATTCCACAATATATATCGGTAGTTCAACAGTTTTACCACATAAAGTGACCTGCATATAGCAGAA